TGAAAAAAATATCTCAAACCATATTAAGAAAATTTTAAAAGGAGGGGAAGGAGGAACTTATTGGCTAGTAGAACTGGGAAACTGAGAGGTGCAGTTTGCTTCAAGTTCTCACCAGGGGAGACAAAATGGCGCCCAGAAAGCACAGACTCTCCCCCTCAGCGCTTAGCAAGCCCAGTGGAAAGACAGCAGCTTTCCTCCAGCATCCTGATAGCAATCACAGCGAAGAACTTGATTGGCACTTCCTGGGAAACAGACTTACTCCTGAACTAATCGCTGGGTACCTGAGCGCAGCAGTATTCTAATTGGCTGCCCTAGGTCATGTGCCCACCCCCGTGCAGCGGATATTTGGGAGAAGGCTTAGTAATTTGCAGTTTTCCAAAGGAACTAGAACGCGGGCTTGATGTAAAAGGAGAACCGTGTCTGCAGATGAAACAGAATATAGAAAAAATGCTAAGGAAGGGAATTCCAGTTGGAAGATTAGTATGGCACCCTTTCTTTACTTGTGATTTCTACTGCCATTCTCCCTGCCATTACTATCCCTCCTGGAGGACCAGTAGTAAAGAATTGACTATAATTAATGGTGCCACGGTAATTTTATATTCTATAGTGAAGATTAAGAAATCATATTCTAATAGGCAATTATTGGTATAAAACATTAATACAGGTTCCAGCCTAGGATTTAAGCCTTACTCAGAATTTCCTTCTTTCTGGATATTTTGGTTCAGCTAGCCTAGTCTAACCCACCCCATGGTCTTTTTTCTGTCTTTCTTCTCATAACCCTCCTTGGCCATCAAAGAAATAGGCTCCTTTTCCCCACAAATCTGCTCTTCCACATTCCAGGGAGTAGAATGAAAATTCTCCGGTTGGCCAAGACAGAAACTTGAACCACCTTTAACTGCTCCCTCAATATCCAATCTATCAGCAATATCTATCATCAATGACTGGAAATACCGCCTTTTAACGGTCTTGAACACTGCCCTCTCATCTCCATTCCCAATGCCAATGCAGTAATTCACCTCTTCATGATGTCTTGCTCGGATTATCCTGATGGCCTCTCCCAGTCTCCAACCTCCATGCCCTCAGTCCATCCTTTACTGTGGCCGCAGTGAACCTTTCAAAATGCCAGGCTGGGGGTGACTCCACCCAGGCTTAAAATCTTGCTCTCAAGATGTAACCCAGCGTCAGTTCCCTTGGATGTATGTTCCCAAATCTTCTGGACGAATAAAGTCACCCTGACTTTTGGTATGTAAATAAAAATGCCTCATGCCCCATCCCACAGTGATGGAAACCCCACATTCTCTTCATTTCTCTTCTTCATCTTAGAAACCTGAATCGGGCCTGGATCCAACCTCGCCTTAATTTGTCCGTTTCTTATTTGGTCTGAACGCCTTCAATTTAACTATATAGCATATTAAATTGAAAGTTTTGACTGAGTCACCAAGATACAATAAATATCAATTCACAAGTGAGAACTCTAAGAAGAACTAACCAAAAACTGGTTATAAGACTCTCAAGTTCCTCCCTCACTTTGAGACTATAAAAGCACATATGAAGAGGAACGATTTGTGAGCACGATTTCTTTGGCGAGAGCTGTGCTAGGAGGCCGTCCCCTCAAAGCAGGAAAGATGGGGGATGAGTCCCTATCACCTCCAGTAGAGAGCAGGTGGCTTCAGAGACTATAATAGGTGTCCCTGGATTTGGGGTGGGTGGGTAGACTAGACTGGTGTCTAACTCTCTACTGGGGAATCTAAATGGGTGAGTCAGGCTGGCTAGCTGCTGACGGGGTAGAGCCTCTGGGGTTAGCCCGCCTGCCTAGAGTTTGTTTCGATGGATGAAAAACAGGCAGAGGCTGGAGAGAGCTCACGGGCCGTAGCTTGGGGATCCCTGCCCTAGACCGCAGGCTTCCTGAGGGCAGGAGCTCTGCTTGGTTACCATTGTATCCGACATGCCTGCACATTGTAGGTGATAGCGACTGGATGAAAAAACAGCAGCAGCTTATCCACTACCTGTAATGGAGATTTGGTTCAACTCAATTATTCAATTAATCGCTTCTGTTATCTTTTCACAAAGTCTCAAGAGAAAGGAGCTGCTGGGATCCTTAGGGAGAAGAATGAACTAAAAGACATTTGAATACAATCAAAGCAAATCCTTTCTGTGAGGCTGAGCCATATAGAACAGTAGCTTAGCTCAGAGTAGGTAAGCTTACACAGGTTACAAAGAGGGCGTATTCTAGCACATTAAATTCTATGCACAGGCTTATAACTAGATCACTAAAATGTAAGCTTCCCATTGGACATGCCTCATCTTCTTTATCTTTTTAAGACTGACCTGGCATGATGTCCTATACATAGAGAATAAAGATAAATGGAAGATAAAAGAAGAACGATTCAATTCAGTGAACAGCCCAAGGAATACCCAGAAATGCATGTATGATTGAAGACAGATCTTTACGCAGTAGATTCTGTTGGTTAGAAGGCATGTTAGCAGAAGGAATACAGATGTTGGGATCAAGCTGGCAGAAAGAAGCACCATCTGATGCCCAAAAGGTAGTTTTATCATTTGAAGGCTATTGTGAATTTATTTTAGTCCAGGTGTGACAGCATGACATCCTGTTAATGATGTATACTTTTTATTGAGGTATTTTTCATTGATTGTGTTAATAGCACAGATATTACTGGCACTGAGCTGCTAAGTTCTCTGGGCTATATAGAAATGCTAGGTTTGTGCTTGAATTGTTCAGATCCAATTAATATTAATTGAATACCCACTATGTGCCAGGCATTGTGTTGGATACTTCCCCATGCGTCATCTGAGCAGGGACTACAGCGTAATGCTGGGTGTGCAGCTCTGAAGCCGAACTGCTGGGAATTGAACGCTGACTCCATCCTTTACTAGCTGTGAGACTGAAGCTGGGTACCTGAGGGTTACTGTAAATAGTCAATAAGAACATGGTTACCCTTCAACCTGTTCCCAATGCAGACAAAGATGAAAAGAAGTCAATCTTGTTAATTTGCTATTTTCTTGTTTAACCTGAAGGGTGACTCAAGGCTCACAAGGATTTGTGAGCTTGTTTTGCAGAAGAAAAAGAATGCCTTTAAGGAAGTTATGATCACCAGGTAACCAACCCCCAGCTGCTGTTGACACCCAGAAGTGTGATTGCCCAAGGGCTTATCTGGAGTGAAAGATTTCCCCTTTCTTTCTCTGAAACTCTTCATCCCAAGCCCCTTAGCTCTACAAAGACCTCCTGCTTTCTTCCTTCATTAACGAGGATTTGAGAGAACCTATCCTGCCACCTTCTCATTTTGGCCAATTCAAATAAACCTTTCTCCACCTCCACGCTCCAGTGTCTCAATGATTGGCCTGTTGCGCATCTGGCACTCAAACCTGAGATTAAGCAGTTTGGTATCAAGGCCTCAAGCAAGTACTTAACCTCTCTGTGCCTCAGTCTCCTTATCTGTAAAATGGTGAGAAAAAATAGTTCCTCCGTTGGAGATTGTTGTGAAGGTTAAACGATGGAATATGGATTAAGCCCTTAACACAGTGCTCAGCACATAGTAAGCGCTCAGAAAATATTATATATTAGTATCACCCAATTTAGCTAATCTTCACAGCATTGCAGTGAGTTTGGTGTGATTATCCCATCTTCCCAAAGAGGGAGCCGAGGCTCAAGCAGTAATGTCCCCTAGGTCACCAGGGGCCAAAAGTCAAGAATAACTGGGTTACGTGCATTACACCAGGAGGTCTCCTTGAGGAGGGCTAAGTCAAATCCCATTGTACATGCATCTCTAGCTTTGGTTCCAAATTTGCTTTAGAAAGGAATTGAACCCCTGCCCTGCACCATTCCCAACTCCTCTAAAAGTTAAAATTATGGTTATGAGAATTTCCAAGTCGACGTCCCATGAAAGTATTAGATTTTCCTCTATAACAAAAAATAAACTATTTTTCAAAAATAACATTGCTTTTTAGGAAGCATAATAATAGTTCTTTTTGTGCCTTTTTATGTAGTGTCCCTGGCTAGTAGTCAAAGCCAAGCCCACTGTCCTTTCATTGTTTTTTCTTCTTTAGATCAGGAAAGACTTGAAATTTGGCTCTTAAAATTTCCTTAATTTGTAAGAAGAAATATTCCCCTGGAAGCCCAGTTGTTATGACCAAAGAGGGAAAACATAGCTGTAACAAGAAATGACCAGCCTTTAAATCACGGGGTTTTCAGAATTAAATTGTTGAATTTATGTCACATCCTTTCTTGGCCATTCTCTAGCTACATCTGCCAAAAGTAACAACAATTGTTGCTCCAAGCGAAAACTCTTCATAGGTAGTGACACTGATAATGCCTCCCCATGCAGAGCCTCAGGGAAGCATCTGGATGGAGCTTAAAGGCAGGGATGTGCTGAATCATCCCCCAAGGAGGGGATTTCTTTAAAGCAGTTCCAGACAGAGGAATAGTCACCCTCTGACCTCTGAACAGCTTTCTCTGACAATTTCCAGAATGTCTGCTTCCAGAAACATTTCTTCCTTTGTTTCATCCCCATCAAAAAGTACTTACAAGGCACCCATTTGCCTCTGGGGAAGCATCAAAGATGCAGGGGAAAAAAAATCATACATATGGTCCCTATAGCCTTGGGAACTTATAGTCTAGGTTGCAGAGATACATTAAAAGGATACACAGATAGGAAGAGGTGTGTTGTGAATACATGGCCAGACAGTAAACTACAGTATTTATACCATATCCATCTAAACAGTTATTCTTTTCCAGCCTCAGTTTCCTTTTTATAACTCAGGAAGGCAGGGGTTCTACTGAGCTCTGACATTCTGTGAGTTGAGGATGAGTGAACTTGGGAATGAGTGCAAGCCACACAAACCCAAGTATTCTCTGTCCAGGCAGGTAAAGGAAATCTGTGACCTTCACAGATTACAGCAGAGACAAGCCTGCCTACACTGTCAGAATGATAGGGGAAGAGATGGTTTCTGGACTTGAAGTAAGAGACAGGGAAATATAACTTTTAGAAGTTTAGAATAAACACATGTCAAAGCTTTATTTAACTCATTAATGAGGGAACAGTAGAATAGTAAAAGCCAGTTCAAAGAATATTTGAGAAATTGAGTTTTTATATAGAACTGAGGCACAGAATTTTTGTATAAGATTGCCAAGTTAGGTTCAAAAGTGGTTCATGCCCCACAGGACAATTAATCATAACATGTGGAGTTGTCTTTTCTACAGCATAGAAATAATTTCTATCGTTATCAAAAATCTATAAAGTAACACATAACTTCAGAGAGTTTAGGCATCAATCAATGACCCAAACACAGGGGAAGCCCATCAACAATTAAATAATCCTTGGGTGGGCTTGCTAGACATGCTCCTATGGAAGGACATGAGGCCTTCTTTTTCCTCATTCCCAAGTTTTGGATAGAGCTGGTGATCACAAATAATCTCCAAGAATAATGTTTGATCACACATACGAAAAAAAGGCTGTTCCCCCTGTGTTTCTGTCTTGATTAATTTATACAAGCACAGCAAGAGGAAGAGGTGTCAATTACACACATCAGCCTCCTTGAGGATGGTCAGCGAATATAGAGTCGTAGAGTGACACTCGCAGAATTAACTTATGTCTGCAAACTTCACAGGCAATTTGGTTGCTTTTTCAGTAACTTCCGTAGCCTCTATTATTTCAGAGTTTTTCCTTCGTTTTGTTTTGAGATTTTTTTCTTTTTTTCTTTTTTGTTCAGTGGCTCTTCTCTTCCAAGCTAGGAAAACAAATATAAGAAATTAATCTCTGCCTGTTTCACATGCAGTAGCTACACATTTGGGTGAATTCCTTTCTCTCTAGGTCCCCAAAATCTGCTAAGGTTTTTGGCTGCCAAGAAGTGACCTTCTTTATAGGTGGGGACCCTGAAAGCTATAGAACAGATGTTAGAGCAGTTTCTTAGGAAGATTTTGTGGGCCTTAGTCCCATATAGGAAGCACAACTCTTATTCCCTAATTATGAGTTTGACACATCTGATTAAACAAAATCTATTTGTAAAGATTACATTCCAGGTATGACCTTGGTTGTATAATTATTTTGTCTAATTACATCCTGGTAAAAATTAGGTCAGATTCCTAATGAACCTATGCAAATAACTACACTATTATGAGGAATAAAGAAACTCAACAAAAGAATTTTTTCTGAATTCTGAGAGGTCAAGGAAAACAATTTAAATATTTCATTTCAATTATAAAAGCATAGTCTACTAAACTAAGCACTAAAGATAGATGTAAAAGAAGTAAATAACCAAAAAAAACCAAACAATGTGATTAAAAAAAGGGCAAAGAACTTAAGTAGACATTTCTCCAAAGATAAACAAATGGGCAATAAGCACATGAAAAGATGCTCAAGGTAAAGAGTCATTTGGGAAAATGCAAATGAAAACCACCATGAGCTATAACTTCACACCCATTAGTTTGGCTGTTATGGATTAAAATAACAAAAACCAAGGGCTGGCCCAGTGATGTAGTGGTTAAGTTCGTGTGCTCCACTTTGGTGGCCCAGGGTTCACAGGTTCAGATCCTGGGCATGGACCTACACACTGCTCATCAAGCCATGCTGTGGAGGTGTCCCACATACAAAATAGAGGAGGATTGGCACAGATGTTAGCTCAGAGCCAATCTTCCTCAAGGAAAAAGAGGAAGATTGGCAACAGATGTTAGCTCAGGGCCAATCTTCCTCACCAAAACAAAAACAAAAACAGAAAATAACAACTGTTGGTAAGGGTGTGGTGAAATTGGAAGCCTTATGCACTGCTGGTGAAAATTTAAAATGGTGCAGCTGCTGTGGAAAACAGTATGGCATTCTTCAAAAAATTAAACATATAATTACCATATTTCCAGCAATTCTACTCCTGGGTATACACCCAAGAAAAATGAAAGCAGAGATTCGAACAGGTATCTGTACACCCATGTTCATAGCAGCATTATTCACAATAGCCAAAAGGTGAAAGCAACCCAAGTACCCAATAACAGTTGAACGGATAAACACAGTGTGACATAGCCACACAATGGAACATTATTCAGCCTTAAAAAGGAAGCAAATTCTGACTCATTACCACATGAATAAACCTTGAGGACATTATGCTAAGTGAAATAAGGCAGTCACAGAAGGACAAATACTGTTTGATTCCACTTATAGGTGGCACCTAGAGCAGTCAAATTCATCGAGACAGAAAATGGAATGGTGACTGCCAGGGCCTTGGGGAGGGGAAGTGGAAGTTACTATTTCATGGGGACAGAGTTTCAGTTTGGGAGGATGAAGACTTTCTGGAGGTGGATGGTGGTGATGGTTGCACAACATTGTGAACGTTACTTAATGCCACTTAACTGTACACCTAAAATGGCTAAAATGGTAATTTTATGTTATGTATACTTTACCACAATAAAAAAAGAGAATTTCCTCAACAGCCATCAAACAATGAAACATTCAAAAATATTTCAATAATCTTCGGAAAAAACCCAATTAAATTTCTCTCATCGGTTCATTGAATTCTAGTTCCACTGGTTCTTGAATCACTGATCTGCTTTTACGAAGTTCTTTGTTCTCGGACGAGAGAGAGCTGGGAAACCTGACTCATCCCCTGGTGCCAACTGTCAGAGCCACCTTGAGCAAACTCCCAAACCTGTGCGCACGAGGATATTTCTTCCAGTATCAATAGTGTAGAGCGCCTGCTAGAGGATTTCCCACTAAGGCTTCAGGACTGTCCTTCTTTGTTAAAGATCCACTTGCTAACCTGGATGTTATAGGAAGTTCAGGTAAATTCGAGCGGAAAGTGAAAACCTCCTGTTAAGAAAGACTCTGAGGAGCTGTGGTTAATTTATCACAGTTACTAATCATTTCAGAATGAAGAAAAGTGAACACGACCCATAACTAGCCGACGAGGCTCTTGATGGTTACCTTGAGAGGGGGACAGTGAGGGATTGACGGATCGGCAGGGCTTCCTGTCAAACATAAAATCTCTGAAATATATTTACATTAACAACATGCTACCTGTTTAAAATTAACCTTGGAAGGCTCAGTTCTCTTTTGATTTGACAATCTTCCCCTGTAGTTCTTATAATAGTGTTGGCTTATTTAAAAAATAGAGCACCCACAAACAAACAATTCTTTCTATCATCCCTCTTTTTATAAGATGAAAGAATAAATCTTTGTGATTGCCCAGGGACCTCTTGGGAAATATTATACATGGTTTAGGTGTAAAATATATTTTGAAAAGGAAAAAATATTTAGTGGTGGGGAGGGGGAGGCAAAATTAAAAGCTATTAGAGGATATTTTGAAAGGATCAATACCTAAGAAAAATGTGGTTTTAGCTGGACTCCTTAATCAAAATGAAAATACGACATTTGAAAATACACTTAGAAAATAACACAATTGTTAGGAATCTTCGTCCTTTCAGATGTGAGGAACTTCTAAATTTTTTAAATAATCAATATAAAAAGTCAACACAAAGCACAAAAAAATCACTTTTACTATATGGCGACTCTGTTGTTTAGAAAAATTATGATCAAGGTAAAGAATAATCTTTTACTATTGCTTATTATGAGCAGACTATTCTAAGACCGACAGTCATTTTAACAGAAAGGAAACCAAATTCTAGTTTTACATTAACATGTTACCAGAAAAGGAGTAACAAAACTTTTATTGAAAGTATCTTATTAATAAACCCATCTGAACTGAGGAAACCTCGGCAAAGTTTAACATATTGTCTTAATTTTTTTTGAGATTTGTTGTTTGCCGGTATTATAACCCAAGACAAATAAATTTCCCTCCCTCACGCCTTCCACAACATGCTAGCCCCTCAGGTTCTGTCCTTCACTAAACTTTTTCATACTCTGGAAACACCTGACGCTTTAATACAAAAGTATTCTCTTTTTCTCTTGAAAAGCAAAAACACATTTCCTTACCTTGCATATAGAGTTGTATTTATTTGCCGTTATTATTCTTCATACAGTCTCATGTTGACAGAGTATATTAATTGAATATTCGTATAAGTTCTGTTATCAGAGAGAAAATTCAGACGTGAGTAATTGAAAACTCTCTGTCATACCCAATATTTTAGCAGATCAGAGACTTCACAAACACACACAATAGGATCCCCTTCAGCTGCATACATCCTTCCATATTTCCATATGTGGCAGAAAATGAACATGTTTGATAATAAAACCCAAGGAACAGCTTCTGTATAACATATAACAATAGTAAGCAAAGATATGTATACACATATACATGTCTGTATGTGTGCATACGTGTGCATGCACACATGCACATGCATACTTAGAGAACTGATTATATAATTTGCAGGGCTCAGTGCAAAATGAAAATGTGGGCCCTCTTTAAAAATTACATATATACATATACATATATATCTGATTAAATAAAATTTGCTTTTAAAGATGACCTCCCACATATGGACCTGGTTTCATAATTATTTTCTCCAAATATTCTGGTAAAACGGAGGTCATATATTCTAAAATGTAGTTGGACCAATGTTTCAACAGGCTACCTTACTTAAACATTTTTCAGGTATCTAACAATTGTCTACTAATTACTTTGACTTAATATTAATCCAAAGTTTTAACTTAATTAAGAATTTTGAGAATTATAGTATATTTAAGCTCATACACTACAGATGTGGTAATACTTGATATAAAAAATTTTCAGAACTCTAATTCAAATTAGTTGAACACGTAATTTCACACTGTTCTTAATTTTAAACATTACATAGAAGTAATGTTAGTTTATCTGTAAACCTGTGGGAAAAAAAAAAGCTCAGAATGTTCACATTGTAATTAGTCTCTTCATGGGAAAACAAATCCAAATCTTAAAATAAAATTAAATGCATACTTGTATTATATTCCACACTTACAAAATCAGGGAAAAGTCATGTAGCTATTTTTTAAACCAAAAATATTAAACCAGTTTGATTTATTGACCAATTCACCCTGCTTATGCGAACTTGGATTCTTAATTAAAAAATTTCTGAACTAACAATTTCTGTAAGAGGGCCTTTTTTCCCCCTTAAAAGACCAGCACATCTAAAGTATTAGAAGTTCAATTTCTTTATTTTGTAGAAATTTGGGGAATATTATATATGGGTAAATGTTTATAATTCTCCATAGAACAATCTGAATAGAACTCCTTTCAGAGACTATAACATCCAAATTGTTAATATTCTCCAGAAGTCAGAATGTTTCCCCCTCGGGACACAATGCGAAGCAGAGGTTGTCAGTTACAGACTCACAGACCCACCGAGAGCCCGCAGCCCTACAGTCCGAGCTACAGGTCAAAAATAAGCACAGAAACAGTAACACTCACCCATCCAGATCTCACAGAGCTTTTCTCTTCCACAGCGGGCATGATTATGTTTTTAATTCATTTGACTCCAAATAGATACACAACAAAGAAGAATCACAAACTAAATTCTCCCGTCATCTACTCCATCTAACAGACCACGGTGTCACCCTGTTTTCAGCCCATAAACCCAGATTTCCAGTCCCCACTCCCACCAAGGGGGCTTAATTTAGCGGCTGTGCACAGACCAGAGCCACACACACACAGGGTGCTCTCTCAGTGCAATGGAGACCAGCCTCGTGGTCAGACACCCACGGGTCTTGAAGACAGTGTAGCCCCGACCATGAGTTTCCTGATGCCCAGGATGACTCGACTTTCTGTCAAAGCCGGCTAGTGACCCAAGCCAAGAAACAAACCCACCAGTGCCTGAAACCAGCTGTGAAAAGAGATTGCAGGTTATACAGACGGGCGGTGTTGGCTAAGAACCAGAAACAAAAGCAAAAACACACAATCAGAGTTTGAAACAAACAAAAAACCCAGAGAAACCGAGAGTCAGCAAAGATGGAGTTCTGCTGCTGCTGGAGACTCACTTTGGGAATGAGGAAAGGTCACTGTGGGGCCCTGAGCACCACATGGGGTTTTTTTGGGCAACACAGTTTAATTGGCTCCAAGTGAGCCCATTTGCGTCTTTCTACGGAAAAATCTCTAAAACTGTCAAATTTCCAAAATGTTAAAGACATGAATGCATAAAAACAGAATAAACATAAGTCAAAGATTTATTTAACTCATTAATGAGGGGACAAGCTGATTCAAAGAGGATTTGAAGTACAGTATTTACAGCCATTGAAGAAACCATGTGAAATAAGACAGCTACTAGGTTAGAGTTTCTAAACTGGTTTATGTCCCCCCAGAGCCATAGCCTTTGGAGTTATCTATTATACCAGAACAGAAATAATTTACATCTCTATCTGGCATATATCTCCAAGCAACTTCAGCGAACCTGGGTCCCGACCAATGATAAGTGGTGAGCCAAGCAAAAGTACAGATCACTGACGAACCCTTGGAAGGGCCTTTGGCTCAAACTCCAGCATGACATTGAAAGGACACACATTTCTCCTGCTGCCTTATTTTCACATTTTGGATAACTTTTCTTAGCAAGGCAGATGGTGCAACTAGGAGAAGGGGTATTTGAGCAGGTGAGCCTGGTGCGAGAAACAAGATGGCTGAGAAGTGACAGAAGATGCAGAGTGTCCTCTCAGAGAGTTCACAGTAAAAGGTGACCTGCAAGGCCAGGGCAGCAGGGTTTCCTGGAAGAGGCACTGGGCTGTGAGGGGCCGACAAGGAGCAGGGTGTAGCTGGACCTGCAAGCTGACTGGCACAGAGCTCCCCAGGCAAGACACTCAGAGCCACCTGTGGAGTTTTCTTACTCTGACCTCCTCTCCGGCCGGAGCAGTTGATGCAGTTCTATGTCACATGGCTTCTAATGAAGGTCTAGAAAACGCATTCACAACACCTCACTCCATTGCTCTCGGTGAAGGGACAAGCAACTGTTGCCCCCTTGGCGGTGACCCCACGAGGCTTCCCTTTCTGAGGAGGGCTGTCCCCAGGCTCTCTCCCTGCACAGCGAGCTTGCTTCCTGGTTCTGTCCCACACCTCTAGCCTCACCACCATGCCTGGAGCCTGGAGCCAAGCAATACCCTGCAGTTCAGAGTCGCCAGCACGGTGCCCAAGAGGCGACTCCCCGGGGCTCCCCACCACATCGCAGCCCACGCCCCACCATGCTCTCTGCCTGCTTGTCGCATACTTTCTGTCTTATCTCAGTCCACAGTCCTTGCCCTCGTCGCTCTCTTCCTGACACTGCTCAGCCTGTGCCTTCCTCTCCCGAGCATCCTCAGCTGCTTCTTCCCCACCACCAGGCATCTCCTGGCTCGGGGTAGCCCCCTCCTCCAGCTACCTCCGCGCTCGGTGTAATGCCACCCCCACATGGCTGCACCCCACTGTCCTGAAGTACTCCTCTTTCCGCTTCTCTGTGTTCTAAATCTTCCTCGACTAAGCCTCAAGGCTTGTCCCTGCACTCTGCTGTACAACCACATCCCGCCCTCTCCGAGCATTCGAACACGCACCAGGTGGCCTGTGGATTAGAGCGACTGTTCCCTGGGGTGATTCAGGACTTTGGATCACGTCCAGACTGTCTTTACAGCTACAGCTTTCCCACGTTGGCTTCAAGATCCACACATGACCCAAGGCTGGGTGGGATTAAATGTGGAGCCCCTCCCCTGGCCCCACGTCCACCTGCATCTGAGGGCCCTGGGACTAGGTCCCTGGAATCAGCTTGTCCCTTAAGTTTGGGAAGCCCAGAACAACTCTAAGTGAACCTTAAGACAGTTTTAAAACAGATCCAGGTTCTTTCAATCTGTCTTTCCGGTTTGGGAAAAGCTGAGATATAATTAGGGGAGGTATTTGTGTCTATCCTCCAAAGTCTTTGGAAAAACTCGCTCAGGCCAGAGCTCTGTGCATTGCTTCTACTGGCTTAGCAGGGACCACAGAGGTGAATGTGAGGGAACGAGAGTGCCTTTCTGGCCTCTCTCCTGCTCCTCCAGCCATCCCCAACTCTTCGAGTTGAGAGGGGAGCCCTCAGGGGCACAAGCTCCAGCCATCCCTTTTGCTTTGGCTCTGGGCAACACGGTAGGCCAAGCGCCAAGGCCCCAGGGTGCCTTTTCACTGCTTCTTCCACAAGGAACCCAGATGACCTGGCCCTCCTGCTGATCTTCGCCCAGAAAGGGCAGCCAAAGAGCTGCTGGCTCTTCCTAAAGTGGGGGCCAGACTCTTAGAGCCCAGGCTTTGAGTCCCAGCTCCAGCATCTACCAGTTATGTGAATTCGAGCAAGCCAACCTTAACTTATCTCATCCACAGGCTGAACAATATTAAGGCCCACCATATACTTCATAGAGCTTTTCTGAGGATCAAAGGAGATTTGAATAACCTCACAAACAATAAAGCATTAGAGAAATGTTAGTATTACCATTCATGGTAATAATACAGTAAATAATAGTAAAATTTTAGGTGTATCATGAATGCACCTCATCGTAATGACGTCTCTCCTAGTAACACCTGTCCTCATAACAAATCTTAACAAATCCTCAGTCTCCCCATAAACTACCTTTTCTTCACTTCACACAGTACAATACTATTCTCCCCATCTCTCCTGCCCAGGCAAGACACGCATCACTTCCTGAGGAGTTTGCGACCCTCGCTTTCCCACCTGCCCCACAGCTTCCTCCGCAGACTCACACCTTGGGCGGCAGGGCAGAGTCGAGTACCGTCCGGGCAGCCCACCCGCTCCGCCCCTCGTCCAGTGAGGGCCGCGCTAAGACATCCTCCAGCTCTGGCAGTTCCTTCCTCAGCCAGCTGGGCGTCGACTCAGCTCCAGTGTCACCTGGGGCATGTCCCATGACACACAGCAGTGAACAAGAGTTCCGTGACCCAGCACATTTGGGAGACGCTGGACAAAGTTAAAGTTGTTTCGGTTTGCTTGTGGAACTGCAGGACTTTTCAGACGTTAATATACTGACGTATGTTACAAATTCGCAGGTGGGGAAGTGGTGTGCTGCTTCCCAAACCTACTGGGCCAGGGACCCCTTTTTTCTGGCACAGTCTTTGGCTGGGTTGTGTCCTGGGGAACACTGTCTTTACCTGTCTTTTGGGGTCAGCACACTGAGGCGCCCTCCGCAGGGCTTCCAGCCCGGGGTCAGAGATGAACCCTGGCTGAAGCGTTCGTTCATTGCAGACAGCTCCTTCACCCCGTGTCAGCGCTCCTCCCTGTCAGTCGGACTCACCCCTCCCATCTTCTCGCAGACACAATGGCATCCTGCAGAGAGCTTTCCTCCTCCCCTCACCTCCCGGCACTGCTCCCAGCACTGCAGTTCTGTCAGCTCACAGGCTAGGGCAGAGTACTCATCTTTCTGCTTCTCACAGGGGAGAGCACTTGGTCCATGACCACCATGAGGAACAGCAGGGAGAGGCCTCCCCGGCCAATCTCAGCAAAAAAGCCAGGGACAAGCAGGGTTAAGCCTGCAAGTCGCTCCGGAACCAACTTCTCTAGAGAGAAAGATTCCTATCTGCCAAGGAGTCCAGGCCTGAGGGCCTTGGTGGCCCTGGAGACCACCCCAGAGAAGCCCCCGTCCTTGACAAACAAGGAGAGACTTGTCATCTCACCCCAGGCCAGCAAGAAGACATGTGTCTCCTCGGTTCAGGAAGGGCACTCTCCCTCCCATTTGAACCCAGTTTGGAAATTTCACCCTCCCTCGGGGATCTGGGTGTTTTCCTTCAATTTAATTGTTCGCAGGCCCTCTGCCAGGCCCTGGGGGAGACAAGAAAAGTGTCTCTGGGGAGCATGATCTGCACTAGAAGGAGTCAGGACACATGCCTTCCAGGTTTCGCCCTCTGTAACAGGGGTTCTAGGAGCAGCCGCAGTGCTGGGGGAACCAAAGCCTGCTCAGGCCTCCGAGGACCATTGTCCCTGTGTGTTTCAACCACATGCCCAAAGGGGAGGTTTGCAGCGAACTGCTCTCTGCTGATAGCCCCATGGCAAGGGGCAGAGGTCACTTACTGTGAAGTTATAAGAGCTTCAGCTTTGGAGCTTCCACCCTGTTCAAGCGCCTTCCGAGCCCCCGTGCCCAACCTTGCACCTGCACTTTAGGATTCTCTTCCTTATTCCCAAACTGAGTAAGTGTTGGCCGCATGAATCCTGGATCCACTCTTGGTGGGTGAGAGGCACATGCCTCCATTAGGTCCCATTCTGTGGAAACTTGCTGGACCAGAAGATGGTCCTGAACTTGATAAAGCTGGTCCTGAACTGGATGTCACATGATAGAAGTGCCCGTGACCAGCTCTCAGCGTTGGTGCATTTGTGGAGAAGATCGTTTTTTGGGAAGGCGCTGGCATTTCCGGATCTGAATGGCTGAGATGGTCCCGAGACAGCCATACGCACCATAGGACACCTGAAAACCCTGCTGCTGATGGCCTTGATGATGCCACAGTCCAGCAGGCCAGTGGGCCAAACTAGGGGATGACCCACTTGTTTCCTACTCAACTTTATTTTCGGGAAAATTCTCGTGACCATTAGCATCTTCCAGCCGTCTCAGCTTGTTACTCTGTGTTTATTTCCTCCAAAACTTATTTACCTTTTCTAGAAATCAGTGCAACTCATCATGAACTCCCACATGAAGGCAAATAACAGCCAGAGACATAGATAATGACCAGTATTCCCAATGATGGGACTTGCCAGTCAAGTAACAGTTGTGTCTGACCAGCTTTGGGAGCTCTGCCCTTTGGCTCAAGCACTCTCACCAGAGTCAGCTTTCTGGGACCCAGACCCCCTTTGTGCTCTGAAACTTCAAAGCAAAATGCTTCCTTGTCTCAGGGATGTCAGAACTCACTGGATTCCCTTTAAAGTTCTCTAGAATCCCCTTCCCATACTTATTGCT